TGTTGTGGGTGGGGGGGGCGGGGGGGATTGACATTGTTTGCTATGTTGCCCACCCCTCAGTTAGACTGCTTGGGGAAGTCCCAGGGTCTGACTTAAAGAGCGTGTGCCCTTTACTGTCCAACTAATAAAACAGAATGTTTTACTTACCTGTAACACCCTTTTCTTGCAGTACATTACAGACCCCCTCCCCCTCTGTTCTTATGATCTCCTTACTGCTTTCTGCAATAGGGGTTATATGGGGGCTGTCCCTGCAACCTTTTTTTATGACCAAGTCCAAACACTTGAAGGCAGCATATAACCAAAATCTAAGACTTAAAGAGCCTGCATCCTGTACTATATTTGAAGAAAAGGATTTCACAGGTAAGTCAGAAAGCCTATCATTTTGAGGCATTTATATAATGATGCCTTTTTCTTGCTGAGAAATAAATTAAGAAATACTTCACATGACCTTCCCCAAAATGCATGTTTGCTGTGTGATATAATAATGGGTTTGTGTTAATTAAATGCTTTGAAAATCTTTCTTTGCAATGGCTTTCAGGCTTTAGATTACAAAATACTCCTATTTGGTCATTATTCCTTTTAATTTTATTATAATTATTTTTTACAACCTCCTTTTTGTGGACTTTTTGTGACATTTCCTTTTTTTCTTTTCATACTTTTGGGTATAATTTTAGTAGACCCAAATATTTTTGTACTTTCAAACACGCTCTGCAAAAGGAGATCAGCTCCATAGTGCTATTAAGAAACCAGGCTTGGGTATCCAAATCTGTAGAGGTAACATTTTGATTAAATAAACCCAAAGCTGAACTGAACTTCACCAGGTTTTTAGGAATAAAATAATTTAATAGCCAAATCCCAGAAATAAATGATCCAATACCCTGAAATTAAAGAAGAGAGAAAATGTCCAAATAAATACAAATATTACTTACTTTTTTTATTTATTTTTTGTATGTTACTGTTACACCAACTTGTAACCAATGTATAATTGAGATCTGCAAGCAATATAAAAGTAATTTACATTCAAAGCACACTTTGGCAATTTTTTTTTTATGAAGAGGTGACTGTTGATTTTTTTTTAAAATTATTTTATTTATGAGGGTAAGGCAGACACAACATCAGGCGTGTAAACATAGTCGAGGATTAGCACAGAAAAGCAACACTGTTGATTTAACAGTAGACCTAAACACATTCACCTGTTTTGTATCCCCCTTCTTCTTTATAAGCTGAACTAACTCTTTTTTATTTTACCATTATGCCTGTCATACTTGAGAGTAGCTCTGAGCTTTCCCTACCTTCAGGCCCTGTGTTACATGTAGCGGTAACGGTGGTCTGTGTGCAAATAATGGTACTTTGCCTAAGCAGCCAATCAGTAGCACTTCGTGAACCACCACTGAAAAACTAAATGAATGTGCAAGAAGCCTAGATCCTTTTTCAGGTAGCTTTAATCGGGTGATCTAGGCAGTTTAGTTTACAGAGGAGAAGTGGGAATTGGCGAAAGATGCATGTTAAAAGAAAGTTTAGGACTGCATTACGATGTATTACTATTCAGAGACACAGGTCGTTAACAGCTGATATATATAACATCTTTTATTTAGTACTTTACTACAGCCTAGTACCTTAGTGCCCCTTATATTTTATATTTGTTTAGCCAGTGGGCCAATACACTATTGCTCCACTTCATTATTTTACTTTTCCTGTGACAGTTTTTGGTCTAACTTCCTGCAGACAGAATGCTTTTCACAATATTCTTACATTAATAATTGTCACAGTGCTTTTATTATAACAACATCTAAACATTTAAAATATTAAAGTGACACTAAACTTAGGAGTTAAATCTTTAAAATGCATTCAAGTACCTTAACTATTAACACAAATGTAGCTTATTTGTATATGACTCAGCTGTAGAGCCTCAAATCATCTCTGAATTTGTGCTGACACTGTTCTTCCTCTGGAGGGTGGCTATTGTTCCCCGTGGTCCCTGTGTGTGTTGTAAAGTAGCCACCACTGCAAACTCGCTCTTGTTATGGTCTAAGATGGTTTACAAATTTGTAATGAAATTATAGAGCATCAAGTGAGCGGTGGCTACTTTACAACACACACAGAGGCCCTGGGGAATAAAAGTAGCCACCCAGCAGAAGGAATGACAGTGTCAGCATGAATTCAGAGAGGATTTGAGGATCTACAGCTGAGTGATGCACCAATAAGCTAATTTGAATGTATTTTTAAGGTTTAACTCCTGAATTTAGTGTCACTTTAAGCATGTGTTTGTCCTTGTCAGACTGACAATGATAGCTGATTGCATGTTGCCGCCTATAACTACCTTGGTACCTTATCTTAGACCTCATATTTAAAATTTGAAAATGTTAACCAAGAAAGTTATAGCGAATCAATGAAAAAGAATGGAGCTTCAAAGGATGTCCTTCAATTCTGTTAAAAAAAAGATAAAACACAAATCCACAGATACTATAGAAATATATATTTGTTTTCCAGTTATAAGTAGAGCATCCTTCTTATTCCCCTTTCCTGGTGTAGGGCGGTGAATGCTGCAATCTGTCCCTAATATGCAGAAAATAAGTTTGCACAAATGCCTTTTTCGTCCAAACCTGGTTTATTTGGCAGGAGCTGTCCCTCCACTAATAACTTCTAAGTTGAGCGTGTCTTTTTCTACAACAGACGTCCTTTCTTCCTTTTTAGTCTTCTTTTCTGTCTCCTGTCTTCCTTCCTAGGCCATGTTTGCCAGCTACGTCCCTGAAATCATAGAGTTAATAGGAAACCGAAAGAAATATGGTGGTTCTTATAGTGCAGTTAGTGGACGGAAGTAAGTATTGACCGAGGCATGGTGTCACTGCTGCAGGGCGAGCCTCTCTGCATGCTATTTGTCCTTTGTTTTTTTTTTTCCTATTTCTCGTTCCACGCACTCAGGCAATGTTTGCCCGATATGTCCCCGAAATTGCTGCTCTCATCCTTAACCGGAAGAAATATGGCGGGACGTTTAACTCGACCAGAGGGAGAAAGTAAGTTTTTTGTTTGTGTTTTTTCCCATTTGGGGAGGCAACTTTTGGAAATTTTAAAGGTATTCCATTTACATCTATTTTCCTAGGAAACTAGTCAAACTAGACATAATGAGTTGTAAGATGATCAATTACTGACTGTCGAAAATTTGTCATTTTATTTTCTGTTTTCTACATACTATATTTGTGTTCATTATAGCTAATTGAAGAGATGAACATTTTTTGATGTGGTTCACTGCTTGTTTTATGTGTTAATGCAAGTGAAGCTGCAACCTCATTTATTTAATCTAGCTACGACTCTTTACACTAGACAAGAGAGTTAATATATTTCACACTGTACTTTTATAAATACATCAGAAATTAAAGGAGAACTATGGGGTTAAGGCTTTTCCCCATAGTTCTCCTTAGGGTAACGGGAGGACACAAACTAGCGTCCTCCCGTCACCCTAGGCTCAGTATAACGCGAGCTGTAGATCGCGGTATACTGAGACGCCGCAGTATACCGCAAGCAGCTGCTCGTGGTATACTGAGATGCAGCAGCTGAAGCGGATCCCGACAATTGTGCCGGCATCCGCCCAGCTGCGTGACTGACAGCTGGCTCTGCCTATCTAAAGGCAGAGTCAGGTGTACCCGCACCCTCCCTCGCACGTTCCGCCAGTCGGCGCTGGCGGATGAGAGCGGGGGGGGGGTGAGAGAGAGCCGTGACAGGATCGAGAGGTGAGTGAACGCCGGTATGTGTTCGCTCACCTCCCGATCTACTGAGCCGACCTGTGACAGTCTCACTGCTAATTTGCTTTTGGGTGGAGTATTACAAGTTAAAATCCTATGAATTATTCTTTACACAGCAGATCCACATTTAGTAATATTGAGGTCATGCTACAATCTGTTTTTAAGCCTTTCCAAAAAGATAAATACTGACTTGAATTAAAGACATTCCTGACACTTAAGAACAAAAGGTGTTTTAAATCTTGATGATTAAATTGGATTACATGATTAACACTCTGCTGTCAGTTTGAATGTTATTAGCTTCCACACTGCTTGGTGTATCTAAGCAAATATTACCTTCTTTTTTCACCATAGGTAAGGATTTAATCTGTCATTGTATAACTTGAGCAAAAATTGGAAATGTTGATCTTGCACGGTTACAAAAAAAGTTGGGAAAACAAAACATGTCTAGTTTAGATAAAGGCAAAATACCAAAATATATTAACATGAAAAGCCCTTATAAAATCCTGATCACTAATGGCTGATGAAGCTTTTTTATCACTGGATCTAACATTAGCTCCAGCCCTGATCCTAACTTTAGCGCTATTCTCAATTCAACTTTCAAGTTTTAAAAAAAAACAGTTTTGTGAGGACTTTGTAGAAGTTACTGGCTTAATGGATGTAGGAGCTAGTAGGTGATGCCTGGTGATCAGGGCTGTCAAGCCCAGCTTATCATTGGGTTAAAAGGGAATTTGGGGTGGCCATGGGAATGTATTCGGAACTATTTTAAAAAGACTTCTGAAAATGGGTATCTTATGGTACCACTTTAAATCAGTGCTTGAGAGCAAATAGATAAGGCTCTCCATACATCTCCATTATGTTAACTATGGCACCATTAAAATATATTTTATTCCATTTATAAAGAACTGTGAACATCAGTGACAGTATATAAATGCTCTGTAAAGTAGCATGCGTGCATATACACCATTGAATATATTTTCTGACTGAAACCCACACTGTGAATTGAGGCAGTTAGGAATTTAACTATTAATACTCCACCCAATTATATATTTAAAATAGTTTTAATTTAGCTGCATCTACCCTTTATATGTATAATGCAGCACACAAGAGTGAACATAGGATTGTTCTTTAAACATATGGTTACAGTAAAAAAATATAACTTTGAGCTAATAGTTGAATCATCTGATCATGGTCTCCTCTGTGTATTGTATATGGCTTCACAGTAGCAAGTAACCAGAGGTATTTTCAAGAGTGAGTCATGTGAAACAATGCAGTGATCAGGTGAGGACCATGTTTTGGTCCTTTTTACTTGCCATAGCCACCATCTTTACTGAGCATGGTAATATAATTATAAATAACCCTAAGAAAAGGAATACAGGTAAAGAAAATTTACTGTTGAACGAAAGATTTTACCGTTATACAGACCACCATATACAAAACAATTTCCTTCCTAAGTATCTTTTATAGTGACCTTATTATGTAGAGTTTACATACAATCTAGACTGGAATACCTTTAAAATTTCTCATTAAGTCTAAGCTAGAGTATCATAGTTCCAAACTTGTCTCAATGTTCGTGAAGTCAAAAAGTACTAAATCAGGTGCTGAAAGAAAAAATGATTTGTATTTTTTAGCATTTAGAGGTGCAGTCCCATGTAGCCGCAAGGTGGAGTCTATACCTGTGTTTGAAATAATCATAATTCTTATGCAAATTAAGATTATAACATTCTTTCTACAGTATAGTCAATTTACAATTCTGTTCTGTTTGCCTCTGGCCATGTGAACCGTCAATAGATTGTATCTAAATATTTTACTGTTAAACGAGAAACATTCTTAGGAAAAATGACCAAGTTTTGCCTTATTGCAGAAGCAGGATGTGTTTAGATAACTAAGTGAATACACTGTACAATTCTTTTCAATTATTTTAAACAAACGGGTCACATGAGCTTATTCCTTTTGATCAAATGGTCACTGATAACCAGCAATAATCATTTCATAGTTGGATGCTAGTTTTAGTAATGCTAATGTGTTCTTCATAGCAAGCACTGAATAAACTCTTACATGCAGTGCACCAGTTTTGTGTCTTTAACCTATCCCTGTAAAATCAATATGCTACTGTGTCTACTTAAGCTACTATCTCTTTGCATCTGGGCTAAGAGCACCAAAACTGATTGGAATCATTTAAATTAGTTTACATTACCCAGTACAATGCAAGTAAGAATATGTAATTAAAAATCAAATTATTAGGTTAAATGTTTGATATCTAAGGTGTCATTTTGTGCAAATTCCTGTAGTATTAAATTGAACTACATCTTTAAACAATTCATAAAAATTAATTTCTAATAAAGGGCCTATATAGTATAGATCTTACATTTCCCCATTAGGACCTGCACTGATCAATATCTACAAGAACACAAGAGTTTTTAAAGTAAATTAGTAATTCTTTTATTTCGGTAGTTTCTAACACGTTTTCTTAAGAGGTAACAGTCCTTTAAAACTGGGGGGGGGGGTATGGTTCTTTACTTGCAGAATGGTGATGAGCAGGGACTGCTGACACCACCAGGAGGGTGGGAAGTAGTAGTCATGTGTTTACTTGATATTGGTGGCCATTCCAAAACCACAGACACAGTAGTGTACTGCCACTATCGAGCATGTATAGGATCCCCCCACCATATTTCTGACATCAAAATAGGGTGGTGGTATTCCACATATGTGTGGTACGGGAGCCATATAATAGTATTACAAACTTCACAGCAAGATCTACCACTTTTGCAGTATTGTACTGCCACTTTAACGATTGAGGTAGATATTGCCCCCATATTTCTGACATTACAATATAGCAGTAATACTGTGCATGCGCTGAATACTGCTGCCATATTATGATGTCAGAAATTTGTCAGCAGGATCCCGTTCATGTAGTAGTAGTGGTCCACGCATGCATGGAACCTTGCCGCCATATTGATCTCAGCATTTTATGGAGAGTGTAAGCATCTGGAGTGCTGAAGCGACTATGCACTGTGCATGAATAGGACATATTGCATTTGTCACAGCTTGAGTGGGGAGATGTGTGCACATTTAAATACATTACTGCGCATGCACGGGGATAAGATAATGCATAAATCACTCTTGCGCGTGAAAGCACAAATTTATAACGTGAGCAGACACCATATTAAACCCTGTCGGAAACCTGACACTATTTGAAGATATACAAGGGGGTGAATTTATTCCATCAAATTGCCCTTTCAAATTCAAAATCTTGCATTACAATAAACAAACAGTATTTATCTCTAACGAAACAAGGTAATGCCAGCGCTATATTACTATTATTATTTTTATGAATAGCATTCTGCAGCTCAACCTGAAGCTAAAGGGGAAACAGAAAATCTATTTTACTACCTGTATTCTTCTTGTAATATTACTATAAGATAACTTTTAATAAATGTCCTCCAATTTTATGCTTTGAAAGTAAAACAAAACCTTCATGACTAAAGGAATCAAATTTAGTATGTACCTTCCCTACTCATTTCTTTCATAACTTTGTGTGCATTTCTACAGTGCAGGTGCTTGTTAAAGAAACAGTATTCTTTGTGTGCCTGGCAGTTTTGTCCATGCAAAATGATGCCTGCACATCCCCACATTTACTTTCTGGCAGCTTTTGAACTCAGACCGCTTTAATATATACACACTATCTTTCACATTGATGGGCTAGAACACAGTAAAATCAGCAGTAGCACATCAAATAATAATGTGAATTTTGCACTGATATTTGATCTGTTTTCTGGTGCTATTACAGTTGAGATTGCTTTAACCTTTTCACTGCGGCCAACAAAACTATTACTTCGGTCGGCATCTCTGCCATGTAAACATACTCCTGGTGGCTATAGCAGCTATATTAACTCCTGTCTGCTGGCTATTCAGGCAGCTGTAAAGCCACACTTCTACATGATAGTGTCCCCCACCCCTGCCATGTGTTCCATTCTTACTGGTCCCTCCTGAGTTTCCGGAGATCTCCATGGCAGGTGTCAGAATGGAGTGTGGTGGGAGATCATCAAACAGACAAATACACAGTCTGTGGTCGATCAGC